TCAAATCAAATCAAACATTAATTTGAATTTGATCAAATAAATCATTCTTTGATTTGAATTTGATCGAATCAAATCAAATATAAATTTGTATTTGTATTTAATTTGATTTTTAAATCAAATATTCAAATACCAAATTGAATTGCGGAACCCTAATTGTTATAAAGCAACTTCGCAACTGTATCTCCATCTTTGTCAAATATATGTTATTCTTTCGAATTAGATTTCTTTCCAATATCACATTTATAAGTGTATGAACTTGAAAAAAAACCTAAAGGATCTTTTCGAAGACTATAACTAAATTTGCTTGTCAAAACTCATTTTGGATTGGCTAAACGTCTAAACCTTTGGTTTCGCTAAATTTTTACTAAGTGTTTAATATAGTTTCGCTATTTTTATAAGCTTTGATATAGTTTTACCTTTTTTGAATTTTGCAGATTTTTTAATAAGGTTTTAATATAATTTAACCAAGTTTTACCTTTACCATTTAGACGTTTATTTAAACTCTGGATTTTGTCTAGCAACTTTAACCATGACTAACTAACTTCCTAGTACTTATGGCAAATCTTCCAAAACTTTAATTAATTTTCTTATTTTTTGCCATCTTCTGTCAGATTTATATTTTTCAAAGCATTTTCCGTCATACTGTGTTAAAGAATCAGGATCAATCAACATTGTAGACGCTAATATATCGATAAGATTTTGATTTTTATCAAATGTTTCCATACAAGATAACTGGAATTCCATCACGTTTCAACATCAGCAATCATTCGAAGATATTCATCATTTTTTTCTAAATTCTGTAATATAAAAAAAAATGTTATTAAATTAATTTTTAGCAATTATTAGATTTTTTATTTATAAATAAATAATAAAATATTTAACAAAATATATTTATTTAATAAAATATTAATGCATTGATTAAATTAATAAAATGAATTAACATACCTCATTATTATTAATATAGTTGGTACTTTTTTTGAATTTCTAGTAATTTTTCTGTTTGTTTGGGTGTTATAAAAAAATTAATTAATTTTTTAGCTTGTACAATTAAAACTTCAGCTGGTACTAATCCTTTTTCTATGACTAGTTGTAGTGTATGTGCTGCACAAGGAAGTCTTACAAGTTCATTCATTAAATTTCCAACTTGAACCATATTGGAGTCATTGTCAGTTGTCATTGTAAAGACTTTACCAGTCAGATTCCAATTAGAAATAATATTGCGTAAAACTTTACAAATATTATCACCAGTGTGAGGGTAGGGAATATATTGAACTGCTAAGATCACTTCACAAATATCAAAATTGCTATCAATAAAGGAGTATATAACACCAATATATCCACTTCTACTTCGTGCTGTCCATAAATCAGTTGTTATAGAACAGGAAATAACATCATCATTTAATTTTTTTGTTAAAACAGCTTTAATTTGATTGTATGCTTCAGCTAGTAATTGTTGAACTGTTTTATCACTTGGAAATTGATAATTTGGATCAAATTCATGAATAAATTCCATAAACCTTCGTCACTACACATACTAATCGGTCTATTATCCTTAACTAAGATTCTAACAAATTTTCGATCCCGACAACTTTTAATATCTGGATTGTTTCGAATAATTTCATCTATACGGGGTTGTGATAATCTGCTATTATTTCGTATTGACTTTCCTCAGTAATTCGATGTGTAGTAAGATGAACAATAAAATTTCCAGTGGAATTATCAGAACCCATAAAATGACCACATAGTTTTGCACCATTTTCTGTTGAACTTGAACCAAACACTTTACAATCCTTCTGTATTGTTCAGTTGGTTCATATTGATCAAAATAACTCCATATCCAACTTGGTCCCGGTGGTTTTGCATTTGGAATTAAAACTAACTGGTTATTTAAATCAATTTTTATTGAAATTTTATTGCGCTTTCTATTATTTCTATCAGTTTTCTGCTGATTATTTGTGTCCGTGTCTGAATCCAACTCAATTATAGGTCCATTTGGAGCTAAATTTCGTTGGTTTAATTGTTCATACGCTCCTTGTCTTGGTCTTTTTGAACTATTTTGTTCTAGGAGTCGGATTTTCTGAATGTGAAAGCTCTTCATTGGACATTATTATAACAAACTAAACTAAAAATGTAAAATATTACACTATCACGCATACATTTATATTTTTTCGCGTTCTATGATCATCTAGGAAATACAAAGCTAATGCACAGCGGATATCTGCACGGATATCCATAGATATCCGGGCCTAAAATTGATATCCAGATATCTTTGTATCTGCGCAGATATCCGGATTTTATATCCACGGATCGGACCACTAGTGCTTAACCTTTTGATGTGACTAAGCGTTTGCATCATACTTTCCGATATGATTATAAAGTTGAAGGGTAATAGAGTGGATTTTGTTTTTATTATTAGTAAAATCATTGATGAGGTGATAAACTTGTTGAAAGACAATGCCCTTAATGAAATTGATAAATATAATATCATTATCTGATAAGTCTAAAGACCAGAAATGATGAGAAGTAAAAAGAATTGAGTTAAGTTCATCTACCATTATCTACTGGGAAGTTTGAATAATGATCTTTAAGAAGTTATATAGAAAGTTTGATAACATCAATGATGGTTGTGCAGATGTTAAGACAAGTCCAAATATGAGACAAGGATTCTTCAGATAATTCGCATCTACAACATTTCTGTAAAGGTTAGGACGTGTTAATTAAGATAGTCCATTATAGGAAGTTATTCCAATAGAAACTGGTAATGATGTCTATGAGTATTGGATTCTTTGAATGTTAATGGCCAGAGATAAGGTTATTAAGAAAAGTAGGGATGAAAGAGATGTGAGTACATGTTTGAAGAAAATTTGCATAGGAGATGATTTTGCAAGCCGATCAGCTTTGTCATTATAGGAAATATCAGAGTAAGCTTTAACCTTTACTAAAGAAAGTTTCAGTTAAAATATTTGTTTCGCTATGAACTTTTTTGTTTATTAAAAACATATTGATCAACATGATCCTAAAGGACCGTGCGATAATCTTGTATCTTTCACGTGATTTGCTTGTACCCATACCTTGTTTTGTATAAAGTTTGTAACGCACTTAAGGCACCGAATCACAACACAGAATGGTTATAGAAGACAGGATTTATCTTAATCCCATACGTTCTTTATTTAGTGAAATTATTAAATTTTTATCGCGTCATTTGTTATAATCCCATTTGTGATTCAACTAATAATTCATTATATATGTTAATAATTATATACCATTTAAGGATATTGGATAACTGATAAAACGAATTAGTTGGACACGCAAACTTATTACTGGTTTAATAAATTGGATAAAATTATTGTTTTATTTTTAAAAGTTTGTAATTTGCAAATAAAAAATGATCCATGTAGTTACATAGAGTTTATATAATAATGTCTTTTTAATATAATTAATTAAATCCTACTTAAAATTTTATATATAATAAAAAAAAATTAGTACTTAAACTAAAGAATTATTGGTTATCATTATAAAGTTATAGAGCTGTACCTGTTCAATATTTTTACTTATTATTTTTTGTCGTGGAATCTCTACACTTTATTTGACTCTTTAAACCATTTAATAACTTGTTTCTTGAATACTAAAAATGCATTAAATTATGTTAAAAAAGAAATGTTAACTGAGAAATAGATCAAGTGAATATCTATTACCATCTGGCTTAGCCCAAAGTTCTGCAGCTTCGTTATTTAATGGACTGTCAATATTAGGTTCTAAAACATAAGAATCAAAGATTAATGATCTTTTGGAATATCATTCAATCGTCAAATCAAATTATTTTTAAGTAGTAAATACCTCCAAGAAGACTTTGCAAAGAGACTAGGATACTCGTCACATTATAAATGGCCGACCACTTATCCTATGATATAGTTACGATGTTAATTAGAAATTATTCCAGTTTGTTAGAAACGAAAAAATAATAAAACAACCTTGAGGATATCTAAGCAGATATTACCGATTTCATCTATGTTTGGATGATAACATCGTGTTTGAAATTGAACAGACGGGGCCGAAAAGGGGTAGTCTGATGGAAACTTCATGGTGATCTTGTAAGTTAAACCTTCGTATATCTATATAAATTTTATTTGATTTGATTTTGAAATTCATAATAACGCGAAAATTATATATAAATTGAGCCACCTACAGTTCCTTCTGGTCCCATTATCGATCCGACCCAACTAAATAAATTGTCCGAGTCAGGAAATGCCGAAACTCCGGGTGGTTGTGAGAACTATCGGATAAATAAATTTTTTTTTTTGGGATAAAAAATCAACTTTTATTTTTTACATATATGTTGAAATACTATGTCTTAATTACCATCAATTGCTTGAGTTCATTTTTTAGCCTGTTAAATGGGATGGAATAATATTTTTTTGGAAAAAAAAAAAAAAAAAATTTTTTTGAGTATGCTCGAGATCTTTTACACTCATGTTGGATCATTATTAAGAGAAAAAAAGGATAAGAAAAAAAAAATAAAGGCTACCTGTTTAATACAGAATTACTATCTTTAATAACTCTAGAATTAGTCTGAGTCTTTCTGAGGCTTTCGTTATTTGTAGTAGAATGGGTCGATGTTTGCTCCATCGTTATATTCTTTTTTTTTAGCAAAGCTAGTTATGCTAAAAAATATTCGTGCGTTTTCTTTTCTTTCTTTTTTTTTTAAAAAAAAAAAGGAAGGAAATATTCTTTACAAACTTTTTTCCCTAAGAGGAGAGTTACGCGTTGTAATGAACTGAACATATTTATATTCATTAATTGTTTGTGTATGACCTCTTATCATTGGATCATTGGCGGTCCGAATATGCGGTCCGTATCTTATTTAGTGACCGAAACGTGTTATGAAACTTATTTCGTAAAATTAATTTTTTCAACATCTAATTTTTCCATCACGCGCTTTTCTTCCTAATGACGTTCTTCTTGGAAACTCAATAACAGAAAGAACAGACATTATTTAACAATTACAAGGTCATCTTCATTCTAAAGAAAGACGTTACATGACATTTACTAGCTCGTAAAGGGAAATGTAGAAAAATTTAAAAATCCATCGGTTTGGACATAAAAAAAAAGAATGGATCGAAAAGTTTATTCCAAGGGCTATAAATACGCTTATGGAAAGTGGAAAATTTACAATGAAGTGAAGTTTCTATATTTAGAATAATGGAAATACTAAAAGGTTAGATACGTCAACAAAACATCTAACCTCTTCCATGTATAATTCCTAAAAAAAAACCAATCATCATTGTCATATGACGTATTATTTCTATAAATTTGGAATAAAAACATTTCAAACGCTAAATTAAATAAATTGCCTTTTTTAGCTTTAATAAAAATATCGATCGGCGATCTTGTAATACTAATTTAACAAAAATCAAATTTTTTTTGACGCGTCAAATATTTTCGGCAATTTCAAGGGGTCTCAGCTGAAAAATGGCCGACATGTATGATCAAACTCAATCAAAACGAAGGAAACATGTTTATATGAGTCGTGGTGATGTTGGTGAAGTCTTTTTTGATGAATGGGAGGACATTGTGCTTGGTCCAAAGGTGCAATTATTGCAAACTGTAGGAATAGATTTCGAGTCTTTGCCTCAGAATGCTTACGAATCCATTAAAATTAAACCAACTGATTTTGAATTATTGCAAGAAAAGTGAGTGTTATCCAGAATTGGCCCGGAATCAAATAAACTTTCACCGTAATATACAAAGAAACTGTCATTTCAAGTATTTATTGAGTACTTTTATTTCTTTAAAATATCTATTTTAGTGCAGGAAAAACATATCTTCCGCATTCACAGAATCCAACTTCTATTATAATAGGAAATTCTACGCCAGTTCAAATCCCTCAATTTGAAACTTATTCCATTCGTAAGGAGTTGAAACCTTTTCATCTTAATCATATTTTTTTGATTTAATTTTAATCATATTTTTTTTTCGTAATTACAAAGATAAAGAGCTTCCAAAGAAATTAGGACATATATTAAATGTTGGTGGATCAGTTTGGGCAATGGATTGGTGTCCAAACGTATCATTCGAAAGTAAATGATTTTATTTATTGATACCAAAATTAATATTAAATCTAACTCCTTTTTAAAAAATTATTCGTAAAGGAGAACAATATTTAGCTGTAGGAGGATATAAATCTACTATAGATGAACACCACACAATCGGACAACGGCAAAGAGATGATTTGAATAATTCGATACAGATTTGGAAAATCGATTGTAGTTTAGATATTACTGATGCCGAGTCGCCACATTTAGATATGGTTTTATGTCATGATTTTGGGTGTGCTTTTGATTTACAATGGTGTCCTTATGGGGCTTATGATAAAATGGAGGTAAGTTGTTCATATTTATTTAAAAACAGCAAATATTTTATTAATGTTTTGTCACATGATTAGGATGCGATAGATCAACAAAATATTTTTATACCGAAACTAGGTATCATTGCAATTTCTTTTGGTAACGGTAGTATTGGAATATACGCCATACCTAAACCCAAAAACATCAGAAAGTTATTTAATTTATCACCATGCGAAGCATTATTCGGTAATAGTCTTATTTTCTTTGTCATGATGTTTACATCAAACGAGTTTAACGCGTAATAATATTACCTTTTTTTTAATTTAGTTAAACTTACGAATCCATTATACACCTTTTCATTGCCAAACGTTATGTGTTGGACAGTTAGTTGGGGTGGTCATAGAAAAATTGCAACCGGATGTACGAATGGTACGCAATCAAATAATATTTCGAGTATTTTTATTTGAAACAAATTTTTTTTTACATTATTATTTAATAGGTGATATTGCCATATGGAACATCGAAGAAATTTTAATAGAAAAAATTACTCAAGGGGAAATCAGAAATCCAGAAGGTATTTAATGAACCTCTGATATATCGGAAATTTATTCTTACCCTTTCAGATTATTCATTCATTTTTGTTTTGCAAGTTACATACCCAATGCAATATTTTCGCGCGCATGACTCGTGTGTTCGTCAGGTATCGTGGAATTCTATGCAAAACCCTAGTCACATTATGAGCTGCGGACATGATGGTCGATTACAAATTATAGATGATCGTGATCCATGGGTCAAAAATAATTTTCAGCGGATCAGAGGTAATTATTATTATTAAAGCATCTACAAACTATATAATCTAATTTGTCTAATTGTTCGAAATATTGGGGGATTCTCAGCATATTTAATGACAGCATGTTGGCCAAATCACTATGGTGGTGTCTTATTCGCAGATACCGAAAATACAGTGAGATATATTCGAATGGAAGATTTAAAAAAGACTACGGGTGTTATGATGCATCACGCTATCGTTTGGGTAATTTGAAAGAAAATACTTTTTTTTGAGCGAATCAAAACCAAAAAAAAAAAATTAAATCTGTGAAAATTTAATAGAGGATTGCAGCATCATATTTTCATCCGTTTGTTGCGAGCTGTTCATCGGATGGGACAGTAAAAATGACCAATATTTGCCGTTTAAGGGATAGACATCAAGTAAAAAATGATATTTTGCATCATAATTTCTTGATTTAAAAAATATATATTCATATCTTCTTATAATTAGAAACCAATTCAAGTTACATTATACCGTATCGGGATTGAAGAAGATATGAAAACCATTAGGTATTGGGATAACATTAAATCCAAGGTAAGAAAATTATCATCTCATTTTTAACTTGTCATTAATTGAAAAGGGTTTTAATTTTTAAAGAAATTTATTTGTACAAATAGGAAACGACGACTACGTTCATGAACAGCAAGGCATTCAGTCACTTTTTCATGCCTGAAGTTGCTATTCAACGAGTAAGATTAGCATAATTTATGTTCAATGGACTCTTCGAAATATTAATATGGAACGCTGATATATATATATATACTCCTATTATTAGGTCTCATGGAATCCAAATATCAAAGCTGGATCATGGATCGTATCAGGCGGCACATTAGGATTAGTGAGAGTTGAGTCAGCCAAAAGAGACTAGAATATTATTATTTATTAATATATTAATTATAATCATTATTTTACAAAAGATTTAATGCGTTAATGTGATAATTTTTGATCTATTTTTAATTCTTTGAATAAGACAAATAATAAATTTAACCAAATATCAGAAGGACCAGGTATACACCATCTTATACAATCTTGACCACCAATATGATCATCAACTCTAGTTTCCATAACATTTTCTATATTCCAATAAACCCCACCAACAGCTTCAATAATTTCTTTAGCAATCATATTTTGTTTATGTATTTCTCTCCAATGATAAGGTAGCTGTTCTAATTCGTAATCATTATAGGGATTAAATAAAGGTTTTATGTTTGGAACATTACAATTCGAATGTCCGATCGTAGACGATCTGAATATTAAAAGGGTATGTGGGTTTTTCGTGCGAAGATAGTTAACTATTTTTATAAATGAGGAACGAAAAGTTGCATCATCTTGATAATGGTGTCCCTTATTAAGGATAATCACATTATGACGAAAAACATATAGGGTCCAAGGTTGTTCTAAAAATTTCTGGTCAAGTCGACCAAGATTGTCAGCACTTTTACCAGATAATATATCATTACGAGCGTATCTCATTACTGAAGATAAATCATTATCATCAGAAGGAGAAGGGCATAAAATATGATCCTTACATGATCTCTCACCATAACATTGAACGGGTCCATCGTGAAAATAATCTATTAATAAATCATGAAGTTGATGTGATAATATATCTCCTACTATTAAAATTTTTTTACCGGCTATCAATGAACAATAATCCTTTCTATTGAAACTTGGTAAAGGACATTCGTTGGGAGCTTTCCACTTATATTTTATTGAATTTCTAGCATTACTCCATATCTCTTCTATTGAAGCATTCTTATTTAAGGGAGTGGAATTACTATCACATTTTCCATAAAGAGGATCTTGTTTATGTACAAGGACAGTTCTCGGTGTATCATCATAAACCCATCTCCCTTTTGTTGTAACGCATTCCATATAACTCCTAAATTTTAACAAGTCTTTACTTGTTTTAATATTTGAACCTGGAATAGAAGAATTGAAAGAGAATTTATTAAGCTTATCCTTTATTTCTATACGAGTTTCTTCTAACGCGGTTTCTAATTCTTGTTGACGTTTACGGCTCGCTTGAAGTTGATCTAATGGTGAAAAAACTTTATCTGAAGTTGCTTCATTGTCGAAACTCGTGAAAGGGGAAGATAAAAAGTATATTGAGAAAAAGACTACCAATAAAACGAACAATACACGAATGAGACATCCGGTATGTATTGTCATCCTTTTCCTAAACATTATTTTATGAGGAAGAAATTCAAAATTTTTTTATAAATGCAACAAAAAATAAAATAAATAAACAAATAGTGATAATAATAACCCGGCATTCTAAATTTCCGGGACCTAATTATTATTACTATATTACAATTACTATATTTATCCCTCAACAAATTATTCTTTCACACCTTTTGTCTTCACTTTTTTTTGGGAAAAAGATGTCAAACGCAAGTTCACCCTCTTTACATACGTTATTGGATCAATTGTCAACAGAATTACATGTATGTTTAAGGAAGATAATACCGGATATCAAGGAAGAAACTTTAGATCAGTTTAAAAAAACCGAATATCCTGAAGTATATAATAAAGAAACGGACACGATAAAAGAGAAACGTAAATAACATTTTTTTTTTTTAAAAAAAAAAAAAAGTATTGTATACTGAATTGTTTTTTATTAATTATACCTATCTCCTGTCGAGAAAAGTAATTGAAAATCAAACACACAAGTTTCTAAGCGTGGCTAAACAATTGGAAATTGAGTTAACTAAAATCATTTATTCTGAGAGACAAACCGAAGAAGTTATATTAAAAGAGGTACATTAATCAATAATAATACCCGATTTTGATTTAAATTTTTTAAATTATAAATTATAATTAATTTTATAGGAAATTAATGGATTACAACAAACTATCGGACAACAAAAAGAAGTCATAACAAAGTATACTTCACTAATGAGAACATGGACAAAAGAATTTGAAGAATTAGAGGATGAAAATAAAAGTCCTTTATAAAAACTAAATTTACATTAAAAAGAAAAATAAATTTTATTAAATTCGCAAGTTTATAGCAATTTTTCAAAAATTCATCTTTCCCTTGTGTATTTTCTGTTTCAAAAGAAGCTGGAAATTAAAAATGCATTTATTTGGTCGATTGGTGAAACGAAAAAAAAACAGGATTTTCATGCCTGACTTATATATATAGATATGTTTCATCAGGACGGATCGACAGTTCGTTTGAAAAAATTTGATTTTGTTCTTAATTTATTCAATATGGAAGACGCTATAATAAGTGATATTGTTTATGAGAAAATAAAAAAATTTGATCATAGGAGTTTGGATAGACAAAGACAATTGGTAATTGATAAGCTAATATCAAACGAAGACTTAAAAAAACGGTATAAAAGTTATGGTTTATGTGAAGAGTGTAAGCAGCCTAATACTAGTTATAACGGTCTTAATTATTGGTGTCAGCCATGTTATTCAAACCATTTTCAACAAAATTTCAAAAATTGGACAAGTGGAAATCTTAATATTGATGAATTTATTCGAAAAGCGCAGCTCAAAGCAAAATGTCATGATGAAATAATAGAGTGGATTGAATATGATCAATTTGAAATTCCACAATATTTGGCCAAAGGTGGATTTGGTATCACTTATAAATCAAAATGGAAAGACGGACGCATTATTAATCGGGATGTTAAAAATAATCAATGGAGAAGAAGTGATGTAACCTCTGTTGCTTTAAAATGTTTACATAATTCACAAGAGATTACATCAGAATTTTTAAACGAGGTGAGATCAATTTTATTCTAATAGCGAATAAGTATTGCCATTATTCAATTTATAATTATGGTTTGTGTCTATAGATCGAATCTCATATTAAAGTGAACTATTCAAATCGTATAATTCCATTCTATGGTATTACTAAAGATCCGAAAACAAATAACTTTGCAATGGTATTGAAGTATGCAGATACAGGCAATTTAAGACAAAATTTAAATAATTATTATAATATGTGTTGGAAGGTAAAGTTGGAGAATTTGTTGGATATTGCGCAGGGACTTAAGGATATTCATGAAAAAAATTTAATTCATCGCGACTTTCATAGTGGCAATATATTAAATAATAATAAAATTCATTATATTACTGATTTGGGATTTTGTCAGCCAGCAAATAAACTAAATGATAAAAAGGAAGTATTTGGTGTGTTACCTTATGTAGCCCCTGAAGTTTTAAGAGGAAACGAGTATACTAAAGAGAGTGATATTTATGGATTTGGAATTGTAGCATATGAATTCATGACTGGATTGCTTCCTTATAATGATGTAGCTCATGAAGAACTCTTGGCTATAAGAATTTGTGAAGGATTGAGACCAAGCTCTAATTATAAAGTACCTCAAAAAATTTTAGATGTGATTCAACAGTGTTGGGATGCGGATCCTGCAAAACGTCCTGATGCAAAAGAATTACAAAAGATATTAAAGGATTTAAATGATATGTATTTTAATGATAGAGATTCAATAATTCGTAAACAAATTCAAGAAGCATATGAGCTTAATAAGCAACCATCATCATCTGCTGATACAGCACATCCTCAGGCGGTTTATACAAGTAGGCTCTTGGATTTTAAAAATCTTACAAAAGAAAAAAATGTTGAAGCAGAATATTCCGGTAAATTTTATTTTTAAACGTGCTTAAAATTTATTAAAATTATATTATTTTAATATGTTTAATACGATAATAGATTCAATCGTTATCGATTTTGCAAATATCAAGAAGTAATTATTTATTTGCTTTTAATTAATTATTATTATTTGAGAGTAAAATAAGTCATGAGATATAGTAAATCATATGATCTGTAATGTGATTTTACTGGAAACGCTCCCATTTATATGCTGTAATGAATTAACTTTAATTTGTTTTATTTTTAGATAAAACCCAAATCTCTAATAATAATTTAATAAATTTAATTAATTTATTTTTAAGGGGAAAAATTAATGACAATAATTGTATCATTTTAGAAATAGTAACAAATTGATTTAATCTGATCACAGTTTTCATTATTCAAGAAATAATTTTTTTAAATTCCTATAAATTAAATATATGAATCAAAATTCTTTAAAGTTAAATAAATTTATTTATTAATTAAAGAAGCCAATAAGATAATTACTAAAAAAAAAATAATACATTACTTATATTGCTAATTATTTAAATTATATATTTTTTCATTATAAAAATTTCTAATTAAAATAATATAAATACTTTTTCAAATAAAATAAAAATCTCTTATTATTAAGCTTGATTAAAAAACAATAATATTTATGCTAATTTATTATAGATCAATCAAATAAATACGAAATATCATTATCTTAAATATATTTTAGTCAAACAAATTAGATTAAATCTTATTATAGATAGAAATAATAAATACATATTTCATTAATTTATATAATAATCTTTAATTTATATATCTTATAAAATCATAGAATTGAATAATAAAAAAACAAATAACATAAAAGCTATGCTATTAAAATTGGATTCTAAGATTAGTAATTGATTTTGAATAATTAATATATTATAATAAACATTTTTAGCCAATAAAAAAATTGTATTAAAAATATATATTGAGTAAATCAATTAATAAAATAATACGTAAAGTATATAACAGTCCTAGTCTTAGCTAAGATATAAAACTGGATGATTTTTATAAGAATTTAATTGTAGGTGAATTGATAGATATATGTACTAATATACGTAAAAATTTGTTGATTGATCAATTGATCCATCAATCAATATTGATTATACCTAAATATTATATGGCATTAGAACATGAGAATGCAAATAAAATGGGTATATAGTAAATCTGTATAGTATAATTTTTTATTTATATATTTATAGTATTAGAAATCATTAGAAACTATACAAGTATGAAATATTTCTTTAATAAACTATACATATATAATTTTTAAGGTGTATATACTATACTTATCTAAAAAAAAACTATATTATACATACATTTAAACTTATATTATACATGTTTGTGTAATATCTAAATAAAGTCAGTAATTAATAGAAACTTGATCTTTACTAATTAGTCTATAACGGATAGTCTTTTGTTTCACCTTACAGTGATTCTTAATGAAGTTTAAAAAAGTGATTAACTAAAAAATTAGTAAATCAAATCAATGATGATAATATACTGCATTTTATATTGTAATATCATCTAATCAAGTATATCATTAGATTTGAGATTAGGTTTGATTTCTAAGATATTTGTTAATATAACCAGATTATCACTTCACTAGTTTACTATTTAGCAAATCTTGTAGTAATAATCCTATAAACCCTGTGATATTAATTAGATAAAAATAATAATAATAACAAGAATTATGATGTAATAAATCTTTTAATCCTATAGTGATATGTAAACTTGAATTATTAATAACTAATGGAAGATATCAAAACCTTTTTAAGTGCTTAATTTTGAGTATCATTAGCAAAATCTTAGTCAGTCTTTAGTGTAAATTGCCAAAAAGGACTTATAGTATCATGTAGAAATCTTAAATAAGGTTAATAAAAATATGATTCTTATGAATTATCTCAGTTGTATAATCTTATTCACTCATTATAACTGTTAATAAAAAATTAATAAGATAATACATATAATAAAACTATTACATTTAAAAAAAAAATAGTATTAATAAGATAATAATAATTATTTAAATATTAAAAATAATGTAATTATAATATATCTAAAAATTTTGCTAATAAATCTATCTACCTTACAAAATATTGTTGTAATACCTAAGATTTTATTATTAATATATATTGATCATTTATCAATCATTTCTAAAATTTATGTTATTTATTTTTATAAATCTAATTTTAAATTATTTAATTAATATTATATAAAATATTAAGCATTTTGATAATCTAATTGTTTACTTTATTAATAAGCTAATAGTATCTAAAAATTTAACCAAATAAATAAATTATAATATAAATCAAAATCCTATTTTTTGTTAAAAGATACTAAAACTTATTTTTAATAGTAAAGCATCTATTATATGATAAAAAAACTTAATATATTCTAGAAATTTATATATTTAAATTTATCATTTTTAGATATAAAACATATCAAGTCTATTAATCATTATATTCAAATATTTAAACAAAAAAATATATTAAAAACTTAATCATTCAATCTTTATAATCTAAAATATATATTATTATATTTCTTCAAAAATAAGCATCTTTTAAAAATAAGCATTTTAAATTATTTATATATATCAAAAATAAGCATCTTTTAATGATATCTCAATCAATATTCATTCAAATTCAAAATTCATAAATTTATACTTTTCAATTTCACTTATTAAGATGAATTCAATAAGCTAAATTATATTATTCTATAACTACTAAATCATAAAATATCATTGATTAAAGATTTTGATACTAAAAATAATATTTACCTAAATTAAACATTCTTATAAAAAAATATTATTATTTTAAAGAAATACAATTCTATTATTAAAAAATAATGCAATTATTTTAATTATTTTGCTATACATAAATAATTAAATTTATATATTACAATTAAAAATACCTTTTTAAATTATTTTTAAATAATTTTTTAAAATATTTGAAATTAATCTATTTGTTTATAATAAATATTTTACCTAAATTTCTAATTTTTTAAATTTAATGAAGTTTAATTAAGTTTCAAATTAAAAAGTTATTTTAAAGATTTTAAAAATTTATAAATTTTTAAGTTATATATTAAAAAATAGGTTTCAAATAGTATTGTTATCTTACGATATTAACGACAATTAGTATTAACGCAAGATTAACAAAGGATTTAGCTTTAAGACTTTATAATATAATTTATGAAGAGCTTCTGAAGGTTTATTGATCAAATGTATTTTTAGAGACAAAGGTGATTACAATCATACTTCAATATAACGAAGTTACCAATCCAGCCAATCAGGACTTTGTTATAAGAATCTTCATAATAGCGTTAACGAATTATTCGTTATATTAGTTGATTACTGATTTCATTACACAAATATAATTTTACTATGATATAATTTTTCCAGAAATATTTTGTAAATTCTAGTCA